ATGATCAAGTAATTATTCAAAAGAAATTGTATGACTTGAATAATATTCGCAGATGAGTGAATATTCTATCTTAGTCTATTGCTGCTCAAGCGTGACCATGGCCAGAATTTGATTCTAAGTTTTGGCGTGAACTCGCAAGGGTAAATGGTTTGAGCCGAGGTCGTTTTATCTCAAATTTTTATATTGGGTGCACTACGGGGTATATGGTATTCGAAAAAGATGTATACAGAAAACGTCAAACCTGTACTCGAAAGTAATCGGAGCAGTGGGGGTGCCTGAGTAACCGGACAGTATCTTAACCGCCAATACAGGCTCGGCAACCAGTAGTTCCTTATGGACGAGTGTTGCATCAACTGTTAGGTGGGATCCAGTGAGAAATGCCCAGTGAGCACTTCTCATTCAGACTCGAAGGCCCAGAAATAAACAACTGTGCAGATACGGCTATTTAGGCATGCCGTACATTATGTTTTGCAAAATTTTTTGGTAGACCAAAACGTATGCAAGAGAATAGCAGGTAAAATCAATTACTTCTAAGCAGGCGCCGTATACAATTTCAATCACTAATTCCTAAGCCACTGCACCACCATTCACCAGGTAACTAAGGAAATATGATGCAACTTACATGAAGAACGAAGAAAAACGACTTTAGAAAGGAACACAAAGGTCATTGGCCGTACCAACCAAACATAAGGGTCCGAGTTGAGTCTGAAACGAGGTGTAGTACAACACCTTATGCTGTGTAAAAAGGGGACATTTATCTTAAATCTTGCCTACCAGACTATGTGCTGATTACCAAATAGGATGGAAACTAGGATGGCGTATGTTATATGCAAGTCCAACAAACTGAATTTCTCTCAACGAGGTGAGATACCTGGATATTTTAAGGGCTTGGCTCTCATTATTGTCTTCCCATCTCTATGATTTTGTTATATTCTCCTTGGGGGCAAAAACTTCATTGAGTGACCGGTAAGATTTGCCCTTTAATAATGATATATTCGCCTTGGAGTCATATTTGATAATCTACAAATTCACTAAACGACCTGGATGACTAAGGCTGTACTCCCAGCGTCGTTAATTACGTTAATCCAATGTTATATCAACCCAATGACAGGTCGTAAGGCTGATTTGAGACTTAGTGTGACAAGACTTTTCATCCCGAATGAAAAGGTGGCTGCAAGGAATTCGTGAATTTGTCTCTTCGGAAACCGAAATACTGCCTCAACGTATGGGTCGCAGTACAATGAGTCGAAGACTCCATCGCACAATCTCAATCTTCAATCAAAGGTAGCTCTTTGGTTTTTGGTGAAACCAATTTACACATTACTCCCACACAAAATTTTTTTCGAAACGAAAAGTAGTATCACATTAAATCATTGTGGGTCTTCGAAAACCAGCTTTTTTACATATAAAGGTGCATCCAGAGGACGTCATTAGGCCAAGATTGTGATCAAGTTTCTCAGGATCGTGTCTATTGACACAAACATCCAGAATTCGAATACTGCAGGGAAAGACCATCATTTTATGAAATTATATCTATATCAAGTTAGAATGCGGACCTGGAGCGAGATAATTTAGCATTCAGTAGATCCATCGTGTGTAGCTCAGTCCTACTCACCACCCACTGGGCCTAATCGTCTACGATGCTTTTTCTCGAATTGGCCTTGTTATTGACGGCCGATAGTCACCAAGTCTAAGACACTAAACTACGTAATTTCGCATTAGACTCAATATGTGAATACGCTCTTGGCGAAATCTCATTTTATCCCGTACAACTGTTCACATCAGAAATTAGGGTAATTTGAGTCTCTTTGGATTTCGTTTTGGCTCAATTCTAAAGTCTTTCCGGTAGAATTTCGTGATTCATAAGGGGATTTCAGCGAACAAATATGAAAACCGAAGCAAAATGTGAGCCCAAAATATACCCTAGAAAATATGCCATTGCTTGATTTGAATCTAGCATAATTCTACAAAGATAAAAGAACGTAGCAAAGGCTTCTGGAAATATTTGCAACTATCAACTAGTGTTGGATCAGGTGACGGGGATGAATTATTGTCAACCGGAAGAAGAAATGGAAAGTAGCCAACCCACTTGGCTTCCATTTGTCATTTTGATAAGTTGTGACTCTGTGGTAAGGATCACATTTCCCACTGACGATGTCGGCAAAACGTTTGGGAATGTGTCAAGTCAATGGTCCGATACTGAAAATCACGAATACTATGGCTAAAGACGCCTGACTAGGTACGTTCTACAAGGTATCTCTGATGCTCTGACCAAGCTGCGAAAACGAAGTAAAAACAACACTATAAAGCTAAAGGAGACTGCGACTAAGCCGAAGTCCACACAATCCTAATCTTCTTACCGATGACCACTTAAAAGAGTTTGCAAAGGAGTCTAGAGCTTCGAGTACCAACCATCAGCAAGAAAAGTCGCTGATAGCTGGAATGAATATATATTCAAAGTACTGGCAGATTGAGGTGGTAATCAAGAGGTCAAGATAAATGCTGCTTGTACGATGCCTCAAGTACGCAAGCAGATTAAGAGAGGCGGCCAGGGAACACTTAGTGGACAGTAAGAATTATAGGCTCTAGCGAGTGGAACTTAATTGAACAGATATTGACCGGGAGAAGATCGTGCACGAATTCGTCCGCCCTAATTCAAAATGATGAGTTGCAAACGCCATTTTGAGACCACGAAAAAAATCAAGAACTAAGTAAAAACCAATATGATAATATCTCGCCTAAACGTTTACGAACCCATAGGAATAAATTGTTATAAGAAGAGTTGAAACATACCTATAATCTATCTAAGTATCCTACAGAAACCCACTTTCCGGCTGCTAAGCAGTCAAAGCTAGTCTTTTAAATAGCAAGGGAGCCTAAAAGCGATTGAAACTAAAACGTCCTCTTAACTGATGTTTTCATTCTCAATACACTCCTAGACAACCTGCGACTTTAAAGAATTTGATAAATATTTAACGAATTATAAAGATAAAACACAATCCAGGTAAATGAATAAAGAGAATCGATTTAAAAGTGCAATTTTTAATGACTAGGATTATTTGCAAATGGGAAAGAGAACTCGGAGCCTAATATCCGACTTGAGGAGATAAAAGAACATACGGATGAGTGAATGAGTTTCAAGATAACAGCTAAACGTCTATTAGATGCTTACACTCCCCATTTCAGATGAGGCCTCAAGTAAAGATGAGAACATTCAATATTGGCTTAGAAGGGAAAAGTGAATAATGTAAAAACGAATAGAAACTAGGAAGCATAAACATATTATTTAATGTTAAGCATATGCTTCACTGTTTTAAGTATATTTTCCGCATTAGGAATGCAATGAAGTTCCAAATTTAGGGCATACGGCATTGGTACATCAGCTCCTGTGACACGGAGTACGGGAGCATCAAGGTAGTGGAAGGTGTCCGCTGAAAAGTTAGGAAAATCAGTCAGACAACTCATTCTAAAAGCTCCTTTAAAATTTTGTAACTGCAGATACTCTCTACGCTATCAGATCGCATTATACAGCTAAGTTCAATAATATTATTGATACAGAGTAGCTGGGTTTAGAAAAATCCCTTAATAGATTGATATTGGCGTACATTTCATCTCGTTTGAGAAGGCGGGTCGAAGGGATTCGTAGATTGGCCATACCGGATATCGCAGGAGGGTTGCCTTGAACTTATATATGTTGAATTGCGCGAAGAAGACCTCGGCTCACTGTCTTATGACCTCGATGATTCCATGCTGAGCTTTCGTCTGTCCTGTGACGGGCATTGTCAGACCACGAAACCATTATTCACGAAAAATCACCAAAAACACCACACTGAGAAAGGCTGGCCAGCTGGGATCCTACATACTTCTTATAGCTCACTTTGCGATCTTAATGAGGCATTCCATGATTTGGTTAGCTGAAGAATGCTCGTCCTACATGCAAAGTGATGCAGGCAGGGGAGCGGATCTGGTCACAACTTTTGTCAATGTAAAAAAAAACTAGAGTATAATTCAGTTGTCATTGGTCTTGTTACATCTTTGTGGATGCGTGTGTATGCAACAACCGCGAGTTAGTTGACAATTTTAGGTCCAAAAACAAACGTTAGCTAAATCGAAGATATGAAGACCAAGATGATGTGACCTTTCGTGTGGTCGCAGTCTCCTTCCGTTGTATAAAGGTTGCTTGACATTGTTTTCGCAACTCGGTCATATTGGTAGGAAGACTTAGAGGAACGCACCTAGTCCGAAGTCCATTGTATGCATGACCATTTCCAAAGTCTGACCGTGGCCGTAGTACATTCACAGGCGTTTAGCCGGCATCGCCAGTGCGTTTTGCCATTCTTAACGCCATACTACAAATCGTCAGAGACAAGTGAAGCCGATCCTTTGACCAAACGTATGCTAAACAATTGTGGTATCTCTCCTTCTGCCTTGGGCTAATCACATTTCCTATATCCTCGTATCACACCTTCAGTGTTACAATTTTTAAGTACTTATTTAGATGTAGATGTGTGCCCTTTTGAGCGGCGTTCATATGAACCCTCCACACTCCACGCCGGCGTTCTCAGCCCCCTTCCCCCGTGTACTGGGAAAGTCGAACAGAGTCTGTCATATTGTTACGCAGTTCTCCGTCCCTAGGTCTTATCAGTCTCCCTGTTGCCCCGTAGAATCCATCTGCTAACGCCCTGGTTCAAGCATTCAATTCGACCTCTGCCACTCCATCTGTTTTACTCGAGGCTACATGGACCACGTCTCTGGTAAAACCTACTGTCAGCCAACTAGCTCCAGTCTCTGCTGCATCTATCTTGTTTCTATCAGTAATACCAAGTCTATGACTTCCTATACCCTAGTCTCTTGTGTGCCAACCCACAAGCGTTGTGGTTCAACATTGAACCTAATCAAAGCAAGCAGTACAACAACAGTTATAGGTTGGCACACAGAGACTAGGGAATAAGAAGTCAGAATTGGTATAACGGATAGAAACAGGATAGATGCGGCGAAGACTGGAGCTAGTGGGCTGACAGTAGATTTTACCAGAGACGTGGTCCATGTTGCCTCGAGTAACACAGATGGGGTGGCAGAGGTCGAGTGAAATAATTGAACAAGGGCGTTAGCAGATGGATTCTACGAGGCAAGGAGACTCTGATAAGACCTAGGGAAGGAGGACTACGTAAAAATATGGCAGACTCTGATAAAAATTTCCAGCACAAGGGTGAAGGGGGAGTGAGAACGCCAGCGTGGAGTGTGGAGGGTTCTCGTGAACGCCGCTCAAAAGGGCACACTACACTACATCTAAATAAGCACTTAAAATTGTAACAGTGGGGGCATGTTACGAGGATATAGGAAATGTAACTAGCCCATGGCAGGAGAGATACCACAATTGTTTAGCACACATTTGGTCAAAAGATCGGCCTCGCTTGTAGTGTGATGCTAAGAATGGCAAGACGAACTGACGATGCCGGCTAAACGTCTGGGAATTTACCACGTCTACGGTCCGACTCTGGAAATGATCATGCATACAATGGACTCCGGACTAGGTTCGTTCCTCTAAGTCTTCCTACCAATATGACCAAGTTGCAAAAACAAGGTCAAACAAACTCTAGCTTATTCTAGTCTTCTACTCTTACTCAGTGGCTCTTACTCTTCCCTTTCTTTCTCTTTCTCTCTCCTTATATTTAGCAGCTAGCCATAGTTATTACTTAGTTTGCTACATTCATTCCTCTTATTCATGATGTTGTTTGTTTTATCAATTCGAATCGACTCCCTGATCTTCTGCCTAGCTGTGAAGTCCCCCTATCCGGCAAAACGTTGGGATTTAGACCACTTTATCTGGTGTCCTGAACTGACCACATGTTCAGCCACTTCCAATTTCAGAATCCATAAACCTTTGCAGGAGGTTCTGTTTTCTTATAGCCTCTTATGTATGCGTCAACAAGTATCCTCTGCATAAACATTACCATATGAGCACAAATACTTATAACAGCTTAATCTGCAAGGTTGTCGAAAGATTCTTCAAAAGAAGACACGATCCAGGAAAGCGTTATTGTTTCTTTATACATTGTCTTGACACATTCCATTTCCTCAGCAATTCGCTTATCTTTCTTGAAGGCTTGCAGGATGTTAGCATTAGGAATCTGGATGAAGAGCTGTCTAATTTCTTGTTTTTTTTAATAATGATTTTCCTTTACCCTACTTATCAATATTTTGAAATTGTTAGCAATTAATCCTACAGGATAATTGTACTCAACTAAGATCTTTCTTAGCCTTTCTAATTCCTGTTCTTGATGATTTACGCCCGCTAGGCTTAAACTCCTTATTATCATTGATTTCATTACGACTATCCTAACAACCTAAGTATGGTTCGATAAGAAATTAAGAAGGAAACCAACATTTGTGGGCTTACTATATACATTTCTGCCAAGTTTGCTCTCATCTTTACTAACTAGGACATCTTAAAAGGGTAACTTATTCTTTTTTTCTAACTCCATAGTAAATTTAGTCGCCTTATCTACCCTATTCATTAAATCAAGTAATCCAAACACCCTTTGCCATGCTGCCAGATAGCAAAGTAATCATCCATATA